TAAATCTTTTCACCAAAAAAATGCATGTCATTCCCTAAAATAAACTAGGTGTCCAAAATGTCTTCACTCTAAGCTTCTTGCAGAACGCGTGGAAGCTCCGGAGTAGCTCCCATCAAGTTGTCTCTTAGGCAATTTGTTTGTAACTTTAAAATCCAGTCGGGTGGGTTATTGTCATAATAGGGTTTCAATCGGTCGTGATGAATTATTCTTGCCTTCGTCTTTCCCTCTCCTCGAATTTCAAATAACACATCACTAAATTTTCGACTGACAACGAATGGTCCGCGCCATTTGTTTGGGTTCAATTTTGGGTTTCGACCCACCTGTTTGGTTAAGTCCAAATAGAGAACCACATCCCCCACGTTGAAGCTATGTTGTACTGCCCGAGTATCGTGGTCCCTTTTCTGCCGCTGAGCTGCTGTCTTAAGATGTTTCCTGGCAGTGGCATAAATGTCGTCCAACTTTTGTTCAAGTTTCAACACGTACTCGGGTACGGGTTGACCGAGATGTTTATCAGGTAATGGAGCCCCCATCGACAGGTGAATGGGCTGATAGAGCTCTCGCCCAAACATTAAATAATTGGGGCTGTAGCCAGTACTGGGATGTTGATGGTTTCTGTACGCACTGGTCAATAGTGGGAGATGGACGTCCCAGTTCTTTTGATTCTCCGCAACGTATGCAGATATCATCTTAATTAGCACTGAGTTAAATCGTTCGACCTGTCCGTTACTGGCTGGATGGAAAGATGATGTCCTGGTTTGCTTAATGTCTAGTAATTCCATTACTCGTTTAAACAATTTACTTTGATAATTGGATCCCTGATCCGAATGCAATTCTAACGGGCAACCAAAAATGGAGAAGAATTGGTTTACCAAAGTAGCGGCCGTTGTTTCTGCTGAACAGTCAGGAAGTGCATATGCCTGGGTATATTTAGTGAACGCGTCCACTACTACAAGAATGTATCTATTGCCAGTATCAGTGACGGGTAACGGACCAATAAAGTCAGTGCACACTCTTTGCAATGGGGATCCTGTAAGAAACGATTGCAATTTGGCTGAGCTGTTGGCGCGAGGACGTTTGGTGCGCTGACAGATAGTACAGTTGGTGATGAACATTTGAACATCACTTTTCATTCTGTACCAACTATAGTACGTACGGACATTATCCAATACCTTATTTATGCCGAGATGACCAGCATAGACTGACGAGTGCATTTTCTTCAACACTGTCCTTACCAGGGACCTAGGCAACATAATTTTCAATATTTCATCCTTCCGACCCGGATGAAACCAACGTTTACATAAAACTCCATCCACAACAATAAGTAAATCAAGGTTCAACCAAAGATTCCTAACAGCCGGCGATTCTCCACTAATGTCCTCTCTTTTTGGTTTGGTCTTGTCCTTGATCCACTTAAAAACATGACTTAAGTCATTATCTTCCTGCTGAAATTTTCTCAAATCTTCCTTTGATATGTCTAACCCTTCGCAGAATGTATAGTCACTATTGTCTGCACGAAACACGGCAACCGACTCTCGGTCCGCATTCCGATCATTT